TCAATCAATAATAATTTAAGTGGTAGAACACCCTTCGCGTAAAAGATATATGTTGGATGTGAGTTTAATCATAAAGGTCTTCATTATGTAAAAGTGGAGTGGGGAATTTTCGTAACAACATGGATGGAACGACACTAACGTGTCATATTGGAGGTTCAATGATGACCACTGTAAGAACACGTCAGCGGTTGCTTCTAAATTCAAAATTTCACTATTATTGAAATATTATAGTTGAAATTTTGAATTCTGCTTAAGCCGGTGATTGGGACATGGACGGTAACTTTCCAGTACTGTCCATGAACAGGCTCAGTCAAACCGAATATGCAACATTTTCAAATTTGTCGTTCTTCTGCGTTCTCAAGAGATTTCGTTTTTCTTTTCTTTTTTTTCTTTTTTATAATACCTTGTTATTGAAATTAATTGACTACATAGATTGGTGTTCAATTAAGAAAGTGATTTCTAGGTTTGATATTGGTCAAATATTTTACAACAGTTGACGTTGCTTACGAATCAATATATTGTTGAATTAGTTTATTGTTAATTACCATGTGTCTGTGGCATGTACCCTTCGTCAGAAAGTTTCCTAATATCGACATTTATACAGTTATAGCAAACGAAATATTTTTCACATGTATCAATAAGTCTTCTAACTTGCACTTTCCAGTACCGTCCATGAACAGGCTCAATCAAACCGAGCCTGCAACATTTTCAATTTTGCCGTGTTGGGCTTTCTTTAGGGATTCTGTATTTATCTATTTTCTAAGATTTCTAATATATTTGAAATTATTTTAGACAGTATAAATGTTAAATGAGGATATGAGGTACATTTAATATTACAATGGAATGTCCTTTTTAAATGATCATCATTTGTGTCGCTGAAAATGGCACAAGTTTCATTTACAAACGAAATAAATAATGATTACATAGTGCAAATAGAAAATGCGGATTCAATCTGAAAAGACTTGATCGAACAATAGTTTAATCTCAATAACTTCCGAGAGCTCGCTATGTTCTGTTGAAGATTTAAATACTAACTACCGAGAGCTTGCTATGTTCTGTTGAAGATTTAAACACGTGTCTTTGTTCAAACAATTATGTTGACATTGGTAAAAGTGTAAACTAATCATATCATTGGCATTAATATAAAACACTTGTTTCAAATCAATTCATCAATTCAGTTCCCAGGAACTTCACCATGTTCTTAAATATCATTAATTGTTTATGTGGCTGTTTTATTGAATAAAGCTTATGTATTAAAAGCATAATAAAACACGCCAATCTGAAAGCGTAATAACGTTAACTTAACAAATTCAAATATTTCACAATAAAAGATTACGAATATAATAAAACAATATTCATTTGAATATAATGACAGTTGAGTCTAATAAATCTAATCAAATCTAATTATCCTTTTCTAGTCGTTTGTGTTATCATTGCAATAACAATACGTGGATGTAAAAATAAAGCATGTTTAGTTTTTTTACACTTGATCAAAAAGACACAACATCATATCTTTATTAAAACATAATTTCAAACAATACGTAAAAATACAGGCCATATTTTGAAATTTACTGGAATATGGTAATTTTTATAATTGCTAGTATTGACCAGTATAGCAGATTGTTGTATAAGAACTACAACAAAATGGTTTGGAGGTGGAAATGAGAGAAATGGAGAAATAACAGCGGTGAAAGTTCAAGTTAAATTTGAAACTGTTGCGCTCACAAACAACTATATGATATTAGCGTTTGTAAGTGTATGTTACATCATCAACTGCCTTTTCACATATGCAATTTTTACATATCAAAAGCAAAATTATCGAACATGGGAAGATTAAATCAGTCGAAAGCTATTCCCATCAATGTATAAAAATACTAAACGACAGCAAGCATAACAATAATATAATTCATAAGAAATAGACCAAGGAATTTTAGATAAAAATTGTGACTTCTTTTGGTCAATCTTTTAGCAAACAACATTCTTACTCCTATTTTTTGTCTTTGTATAAATTCATTAAGACCTCGATATTTTCTTCATGATAAGTTCCTTTAATCTTGTTATTTTAATCTTTAAAAAAAGCAAATAAACGTATGCTCATTTTCAGATTTCATGACTATACACGTCATTAACACAGTCAACATTGTACGTGAGTAACAAAAAATTGAAATAAAAAAATGAATCTTGTGAAAAAGCTACTAAGAAAACAGTCTACTTGAATCGTCCTTTACAACATATTACGATACAGCGATGAGGGCTAAATTTACTTGAGTTTAAGACTATCTTCAATCTTGTATAAAAAAAGTTGTTAAACAACATTTTCATACCATTTTTGTTGTCAAATAAGGTAAGCATCTTAACTTTAAAAATACTTTTAAAGGAACTCCACTGAGGTTTATAAGAGTAAAAACATAAAATTTTAATTTCTCACATAGATCAACATTAGCACTTAAAACAGAATTACAAATAAAATATAACCAAGAAATATACAAGACATACATTAAAAATCATATGTTTGTGCTATGCTCAGTCCGATTTGAGTGAAAAGCGTTTAAACGCTTTTCAATTTTTTGGTTATTTTTCACTATTTTAACAATTATTCTGGAAAAACGGAGCGAGCGAATGATCTGGTATTTTGCACATAAGTTATTAGTATAGATCTACATCAAATGAAGTATTAATCGCAAAAAATTATTTTCAGAACCGTCATGTCACAAAACCTCAGTGGAGTCCCTTTAATACAAGGACTTATATCATCATTGATTCTAAACTAAGAACAGTTTCATACTGTTAAACATTGTGTATTTATACATTATTACAGGTAGTTAATATGTCTGGCAAATGCATTTTAAATATGCTACTGTTACTGAGTCTTGGAGTTGTAATAGTCTTTTGCAGGCGTTTTCATATTAATAATTATGATTTTGCAAGATTTAAAAATAACTGATACTATATTTAAAAACATATACACATATTTGTTCTAAGTTCATTTTAAACTAAGTGCAATACGATACACTAACAATATTTTATTTTAAGAACCTCGTTATTCAAAATTGTTACTATATCAGTACGAAATTATTGCTTCATATTATCTGAAATATCAGATTTGGCATCTATTCTAAGATACCTATTTCTAGATATTTCATTTCATATATGGTATTTTATATAATTAGTCTATGGACTCAGATGGTTGTAACATGAGGCACTTATTATATCTTGAATTCTTTTTTGAGATAGCTCTCTAGATTATAACAATAAGCGACCAATAAACATCTCAAAATGCCTTGGAGATTTCATTTGTTTGAGTTTTTCCAGCAATAAAACTGTATTTATTCCAAAATATATTAAACATAGCAAATTTATTAATGAAAAAACTCATTAATATGGAAAGAGATTTTAAATAAGCACATGACATGAATGTTTTGACAAGTTATTTGTAGCAGTAGAAAAATTATAATATTTACAAATAATGTCCCGCCATATGCACCTCTTCCTGCAGTTTGGTCGGTACCCTACTAAGTTCATGTTAGGTGGTCCTGTCTGATTGGATTTAGTGTGGGTTTGCGTTCTGTGAACGTTGATCTGCCTTGTCGATTTTTTCTCATATTGCAACTCTATCAGGTTTTAGTGTAAATCTTAATACATGTTAATCCTTGATACTGTAGAACAATTACTTAAATGGGGTTCATTAGCAATATAAGAAAAAATATATAACTTTCCTTTGCGTTTAAAGAAGAGAGTACGGATAGTATATCATATCAATGGGTGCCTTCTAAAAGGGCAACAGAGTATTCCTAAACAAATGAAGTTGATAGAGCCTGAGGTTCAATTCAGAAATTTGTAGAAAATCACGCCAAAGAGACAACCAGTTACATAAAGCATTGAATTCTAATAAATCATCAGAATGGGTGTTACACATTTAGGTATAAACAATTAAGAAATACAGTAAATAAAATGAAAAAGACATGCAAAAGAAGCATTTGATAATAACCTTGAATTTTCCCTTAATGACTTAAATTCTTTAAATCTGCTTAGATATTGGCATACAATTAAAATGCTTGTTAAGGAGAACTCGTCGAATTATGGAAGAATACTACTTTTGAAATGTAATAACAAAATCTATTCAATGACAGATTTGGAAAAGCAAATACGCTTAATGATTTTTTGTTTCCATTTCAGACCTTGACGAATCTAATACTGAACTTCCAGAATTTTTCATTTAGAACACAAGCAAATCTTGGCAATTTTACTTTATGTGAACATGAAATTACAGATATTTTGGAAAATTTATTTGTAAACAAAACATCCAGGTATGACAAAATTAGTCATAAAACGTTTAAAGAAACTTATAAAACACTATAAACCATTTTCCCTTCTTTATAACCGTTCTTTGTCAAGGATAATATACCTGTCGAGTTGGAAATTAGCACATTTAATGCCTCTTTATAAAAAAGGTGACAAAATAAACCGTCAAATTACAGGCCTATTTCTCTTATTAGTTGTACTGGCAAAGTAATGGAATGTATCTTTTATTAACACATTTTAACGATCTACATATAAATGTTTTAATATTTCAAATCAGTCAGGTTTCTTACAAGATTATTCAATTGTTTTTCAACTTGTTGGAATACTATATTATCAAATTTGTGAAGTTTTAGACAAGAAAGAATCCACATATGTTGTTTTCTGTGATACATCTAAAGCGTTCGATAGAGTTTGGCATAAGGGTTCAATTTTCAAATTAATACAGACCGGAGTTTTTGTTGGCACTTTATTTTCAAATTCACGTTACTTCATGACGGTGTCCCTAAAGGCTCGGTCCTTGTGCCTTTTTATTTTTTAATTTACGTGAATGATATTGCTGATTCGCTTTAAAGTATAATACGACATTTACAGATGATAGTTCTTTAGTTGTATCTACAAACAATACCAATGCCAAGGAAGATAATCTCTATCACGATCACATGACCAATTAATGATCTAAACAATGGCTATTTAATTTTAATCCTTCTTAAATCGATTTGTAAAAGAGACCGTCCACAATTATATTTTGATAATGTTCATATAAATTGTGTAGAACACCATAAGCACCTAGCGTAATATTGAGTCAGGATAGGTCATTGAACAAACATATTTCTACTACAGTTTCTTCGGATCTAAAATTTTAGTTTTCATGAAAATGAAAAAAGAAATTCAAGTCCAAAGGAGTACGCTCAATGATATGTATATTTCATATTTACTTTCTCGTCCAGAATACGCTTTACTTTTACGTGTACCCTGTATGAGTCAGAAATTCTAGAGAAAAAAATCTATTATAATATGAAGCCGCTAGAATTGCCAGATCAGTGTCCATTTAAAAATGTTTAAAAGAAATAGGGTGGATATCTTTGGCAGACAGAAAAATAAAACACACTAGTTTAAGTATACAAAGAGAAACATAATTTATTGCCATTATATTTATCACAGTTATTTCCCCTTTAGGTAGAAAACCCAATTGAAAATCATTATAGCTTAAGAAACTATACTTGATAATGTTACTATGGCAAGAAGAACCGAAATATTTTCAAAATCAGTTATCCTATCATCAATACAGCTTTGGAATGCATTATCAACAGATATTAGAAACTCAGACTCTAGCAAACTATATAAGAAAACTGAAAGAAATATATCCCGTTGTATAAACGATGAACGTTGGGAGAAGGCGGTAGGTTTTCAAAATATCAGAAAATGTATTATTAATTTACTTATTTTTTAGCCAGTAGTTTTTTGTTTTGTTATTTCTTTTTTGTAGTTTTTTTTTTCATTTCTAATGATTTTTTTTCAAAATAATAATGACCTGTATTTAGATAAATACTAAATAAAACAATGTCAATAATTCACCACTGTTTTTATGTATTTTCATGTGTTTCTTATGTATTTTGAGTTAATAAAGGTATGTTCTGTTCTGTTCTATAACTTTTGGATAAATCCATTCGTATATTTACATTAATGTATTTATGTATAATTGTGTATTATTGTGACATTTTTTGACATGCATGTTCACAATAAAATATGATTAAAGTACAACATCTACTTGACATTTGCTGAGCTTCGGCATTATCAAACTCTACATTAGTCAGCATCAAAACAGGAAAAAGATGAAAATGAAAGATCAGGTGTACTATTGTAAGTTATATTTTTATCACATTCTTTCATTTACGGACTAAAGGAATTAACATTATTATCACATATGAGTACACTCATTAACTGAACATGATACGTATTTACCATACGTTGCTGCTGGAATGTGTTTTATTGATATAACTGTGAACTAATCATTTAAGGATATAATGAAAGTGATAATTAAACACCTGTTCATAATTAATTTTGTTCCCAGTGTTATCGACATGCTGATATTACAGCCGATGAATTCTCATTGAAGTCTCTATTAAATCAACAATATAAGTGGTTGTTCTTAGAAAGTTCTTAGAAGTTCGATTTTATTGCATTTAAATCATACCAGACTTGCATTAAGATTGCAAGATTGCAACTTTAATTTTTTTAGTATATTTAATGAATCTATACATTAGGCCCTATGTTTGTTAAGTATGTTAGTTTTGAATCAATACATTTTATTAGCTAAAATTATTCAATGGAGTCTCATAATCGGATGATTTTTCACTGCGGTTATGCACGTGACTATGATCATGTGATATGATCAGATGATCCTATTAGTACCGGCTGCTCGTAACTATCTCTTCGTTGCATTCGTTTGCTTGATGGTTCTTTGAGTGTATCCAACGATTCAGTTTGAATCGTAATTGGTGCTTCATAGTCGTCTCTTGGCTTTAGATTTTCGTTTGGCTGATCATTTACAGCATGATGTGTATCAGCATTTATTTTCACAGGATCCTCATAGCTGTCCTTTCTCTTCATACGACTGTTATTTGTTATATCTACACCTGTAACATTTAACTTTGGTGTTGCATCATCAATTACCGCAGTTTCATACTGGCTACTGTTATTGCTGGTATCTAATTTAGTTTCCACATCATCAGCTTTTGCTTGCGATAACTCTTTCAGTATCGGTTGTTCATAACTATCGACTCGCCTAGTTGGTTTAGATAGTGTTTGAATGTGATTGTAATCATTTTCTAAATTGGAATCCACTTGTTTTTGTTTTTCGTTTAAATGTGAGTAATCAAATGATTCTCCTGAATCAAAATGAGAATAATCTTTGTCCGGATTTTGATGTGTGTTTGGGTTCATTCTGTTATAATCCCCCGACTGTTCGCTAAAATGACCATAACTGTGTAAACCTTCGAGGTCCATCACTTTGCCAGGTTCATATTTCGTCTTGTGGTTAGCTGTATCGTAACCATAGGCAGAACTTTCGTTTTTAGACTCCTCATTTAGAAAAATTGTGCTATAGTTTACACTGTCTCCACGTCTTATTTCTGTAGCATTCAAGTTGTCGGCGTTATTATGTTCGAGTGTGTTATATGTATGATGCTCTGCAACTCCATAATCGGCTGGTATTGTATTATACTCGCCATCAAAACCAGGATTGTCTTCATCTCGGTTCTTATTTGGCTGCTCGTTACATTTACTATCTTGACTTCTTTTTCTTTGACTTTGTCTGCAAAAAGAAATATATTCACGTGATAAAGAACGATTCTTTGTCAGCATGCATATCAATTGTTCTGACAATATTGATGTTTCGAAAAAAATATTAAGATATTTCGCCGTTAAAATTGTCTAAAAACTTTTCCTTCTTATTTAAAGACTTGTTTGCTTATAAAGATGGAAAAATGGTCAACTTTTTTTTCCTGCTTAAATATGGATTGTGCTCCAAACCGCCACTTAAAATATCAAATAACGACATTTTGATTACATTTGTGGTAAGTATAGAATAACAATCACGTTAAGGAGATACCTAGTGTTCCTTGTTTTAATTAGCTCACCTCCTATAAAGTACAATTCCAAATACAGCAGAAACTATAATCAATATTGCCAGAACGACTATGATAGGTACAACAACCGCGGGTGACACTCCTCCGCTTCCGGCATTATCAGGATTACTGGAAACAGGTAATGCTCCTTTCGAATCTCCTGTAAATTATTAATTTATAAAAAGGAAAACAAATTTCTTGTGATGTCTATTACCATGCTATGAAATATGTACATGAATATAATACGATATATTTTCTACATGTATATGACGAAACAATGAAAATCGAATTTGGCATTTATGCTTTGCATTGCATCTCCAATTTTCTCCAGGTTTCAAATGTCAGTTTAATTGATTCAATTTTATGTCATGCATTTTCTTTTAAGTAGGCACAATATATGTTAAGTCGCATATGAATTATAAATAATCATTAATGTTATCAAATCCTTCATCCCCAATGTCACACAAAACTGCATGACAGGGGGTATAATTTCAATACGTGTTATATCTTTTATCATGACTTATTCGTGACTAATACATTTCATTCAAACATGTTGTTCCCTGTTTTAAGCACATATATTTTGGAGATTTAACCCTTAACCTGCTGGACTAACCTTTGTCACCAGTATAGAAGCAAGCTTTCTGCTCTTCCGTGCAGTCTGACCGGGTTTCTGTTAATTCAAACTTCGGATGAAGCGTTCTAATTTCAAAGTTTGGCTAATCAAGTTAATCTATTACACAAATTCAGCATGTGAAAGGTAAATGCTGCGTATATTGACAATAAGTCAATAATAGAGAATATAATTTAGATAAAAACCTCCTGATTTACCTCCTGAACAGTTGTAAGACACCCGTACATATATATTCACAGATCTCGAGCTCTGTAACCCACCAATTTCTTTTACTACTTCTGTTGCCTGATGAGATAATGACATAATATTGTTGAAGTATATTACTGAAATATATAGAGCATATTTCTTTGACCCCTTGACCTCAAAATCATTAGGGGTCATCAACCGGTCATGAACAATCATCATACCAAGTTTGAAGTTCCTATGCCTGAGCAGGCTTAAGTTATTGATCGGAAACAGTTTTTTCCACTACAAGGAGTGACCTTGACCTTTGACCCCTTGACCTCAAAATCAATAGGGGTCATCTACTGGTCATGAACAATCATCATACCAAGTTTAAAGTTCCATGGTCTAAGGGTGCTTTAGTTATTTATCGGAAACCGTCTTTACCTCCAAGGTCAATGTGACCATAACCTTTGACCCCTGACCCAAAAGTCATTAGGGGCCATCTACTGGTCATGAACAATCAGCATACCGAGTTTGAAGTTCCTATGCCTGAGCAGGCTTAAGTTTTTGATCGGAAACAGTTTTTTCCACTACAAGGAGTGACCTTGACCTTTGACCCCTTGGCCTCAAAATCATTAGGGGTCATTTACTGGTCATGAACAATCATCATACCAAGTTTAAAGTTCCATGGTCTAAGGGTGCTTTAGTTATTTATCGGAAACCGTCTTTACCTCCAAGGTCAATGTGACCATAACCTTTGACCCCTGACCCAAAAGTCATTAGGGTCCATCTGCTGGTCATTAACAATCATCATACCATGTTTGAAGTTCCTAAGCCTAAGCGTTCTTTAGTTATAGATCGGAAACGGTTTTCCCCACAAGTTTGTTTCCGTCACTATGCACGCTAGTAGTTTACTAAAACAACGTGACGGGCTTAAATTCAAAACAGTGAAAAAAATCAAACTGATAATTTCACTGTTTCAAACAGTTTTATATTTCACTGATAATGAGGATATTTGTTTGTTTGAGTGTAAGATGAAATAAAGTGTGTAAGATGAAATAAAATTACATCTTACACAACAAACAAACCAATTTTCTTTTCTTTTTATGCTTAAAACAAGTTTCAATTAAATTTCCTTAATATAAACTTTAATATTAAAATCTGTTTTCCCCACTGGAGGCCTAATTTAGTCGAATTTCTCATAAAATACATGAAGTTTTGGGCTAAAAAATAAGTTCGACAATCAACGTTAAATGGCGATGATATTATTGATTTTATTTAAATAATATGAATGATCGCTTGTTTTAATTATAAAAACAAGCAATTCTAGTTGCAGAAAAAGTCAAACCATCCATCCTTATTTCTGTTACTTACGGCGAATTTATATTAGACATGGTTCTATGAAATGTAAGCGCCCGCCATTTTCAAAAGATGTGTATTTCACGGGAGGAAAATAATTGTGTTTTATTCAGGGGGATATAATTTGAGTTTGTTAGTCATACTTCTTTTAAGAAGAAAGAAAACTTATTTGACCACGGCCGCCCCATGATATATTTCTATAAACCACGGAAAAGCATGTAATCAAATGTGTTAGCCTGTCACTCTTTTACCAATTAAATCCTGCTTTAAAAATTAAGTTTAAGTTAAACTTTTCTTAACTTTCAACATATGATAAACTACCTTGGAGTTTGAAAACTGGCATGTCTTTTCATAGTCACATTCCTCAATCAAGTCAACATCACAAGATGACCTATAATGATAACACTGGCGTGTCTCGTTTTTGATTCGCTGAATTAATTCATCATTGCAACTAAGTGTATATGCAGGTTTCACACATTGTGGACTGCCCTTGAAACATATTGTTATTTCTTTTTCTTCTTTTTCTTCTGATTTAAAAATGAAACCTAAAAATATAACAGTTTTTTTTGCAGATTATTTGTTTAGAATCAAAACTGAAAAATAAGGATAGGACGTTCAAATATATCATTCAGATACCACGTAAGTTACATGTATTATTTTTTCACCGACAGTCATATCTATTCTAATGTGACTACTACTATTTACGTCCTGAATCAACATATTAACTGAGAATATAGACAGTATAACGGTCTATAAGCTGACATTTAGTTAGAAATACCCAAACCGTTCCTAACTCTACCTGAACATTTTCATTTTAACAAATAAAGCGGCGCCACAGGGACATTGACTTTTCAAACTAAATAGTACAAAAACTGTATAACTGATGTTTTTGCTGTATAACACTCTTACACATAACGAACTCAATATTTAAGCATCAATATTTTAATCTGAAACTGTCATCTAAAAATTTATTTAACAATTGTTCATATTCTAAGCAGACTCACGTACATTACATACATAACACAACTTTCTTTTAAGAAAGAAAAAGTGTTTTTACAGGTGTAATTTAAAAAAAAACATATTATCGTAATTGTTGTAACGTACCTGAAAGAAAAAATATTACTGTACACCAAGTTACACAGATTGAAGCCATTATCCTAAAACACTGTATATTATCCGTGTATGTACTAAAGAATGTTAGTTTAAAACTATTCGATGATTCATTAAAAACTTAATTCGAAAATATTTAAGTACTCGTATGTTAAAGGTAAAGTTTCGTGACAAAGTCTTCATGGGTGACTCCACATTGAATAGAAAAAAGTTGTAAATACCCCCATTTTACGCTAGTAGTTTCTATTTTTAAGTGTAATTTAGGTGTATACATTATCACGATATATAGATCATTTATCATACACACAATAATGAGAAACTTCTAAATACATAGTTTGCTATGTGTTAAACCCTTGCTTTATATGTTTAATCTCTTTAAAGGCCCATTATGACCCAGAAGTGCCTTTTGTTTTTATTTCTCAAAACATTTTTTTATATTTGCTAACCTCGGTTTGTTACCTGTCATATTATCCCAATAGTTACTAATTGGCCGTTTACCGAAACAATCTATTGATCAGTTATAGAGATTAATTTTTTGTATGGAAGTCAAAATACGCACCCTGGATGAACAAGTTTTGTCACGTGACCACAAATGCAAACGCCGATTTGTGATTTTGGCACACACGGACCCGATTTCAGGTAATCATTTGCAAATATCTTTTATTCCACTGCGAGCACAAAAATAAGACATAGACCGTAGGACCCGGCGTAAATTAAGCTTTAATTTTATGTGAGTAGTCATTACTAGACTTTAATAGTTTTTTAGAACACTTCGACACAAATTTTCTTTTTGCAAAGCAAACGCCGATAGCTTTTATCTTTTCTAATCTTTTTTGTTCACTGAAAACCCATGTAGAGGTAAAATAATAGAAGATATATCTTTTTACAAGCAATTCTCGTCCCTAACTTATTAATAATTCCATTGGCAAGGTTATATTCGATATAAACACATGTTTTTCCACTTAGTGTCGATTTTGCAAACGTCGTTTGATCATGAGAAATATGCAAACGTCGGTTGGTCATTTGAAATATATGCAAGCGCCCGTTGATGTCTTTTTGGACGCTGGACTATATTGTGTTTGCTTAATTAAATTTAATTTGTTTCTTATTTCAGATGGCGAAGAGGATGTCAAAACTTGCGTTGCATCGCCCAAAACGCAAACATAATTCTTACCAAGTTGGACATTTTCACACCGGCGAAGATTTTTCCCCCAAGCCATCATCACTGAAAAAGCGTAAATTTTCACCAAGAAAATCACCGTTCGCACAAACATACCGTTCACCTTTATATAAAAGTAAACGCCTCGGACGAAAACTCACGCCAAAGCCAACACCAAATTCATATAGAACGAAACGTAAACTTTCACCACTGCAGCCATCATTGAGGTCTCCACTTTATATTGCCAAACGCCTTCCTCAAAGAGTTCTTTTTGAAGGTGATGATGAACCTGAAATTGATTGGTTTCAAGAAATCAATTCACAACTTGACAATCAAGGGAACAATATAGATGAAAATGATAATACGTTAAACGAAAGTGTTCTAAACGAAGGTACACCGGATACAATTTTGCAAAGCGAACAAAAATTGTTTGAAAATGTCACGGGTTCTAAAGAACATAAAAATAGTGCGGACAATGAGATGAATATAATTGTTAGTGAGTTAAAAAAGTTAGTTGAACCTGTAGTTGAAAAACTTGCCCAGCATTCATCTGATCTCCATCTGGTGCTCGGTACATCTACAATACAATTATACAAATATGAATGAAACAATAATATATTTAAAGGATTTGAAGTAAATGACATAAGGGGTCAATGTTATTGAGAAAATTTATTGCGCCATTCCGTTAAAATGTTATTTTATGTATTGCGATTAAGCATAACACGGATGCTTCTCTCAGGGTATGGATAATTGCTCAGTAGTATCAGAAATAATGGCGCCACCGCCGGGTAAATAAACGATAGTTATGTAAGTACATATTGACATAAATATAGTAGCCATTATCTTATTAAATATCTAATTGATCAACCAAAGTGGATTAACTGTAAACATAAGTATGTACCCACATAATAAGGGTCTTCAAAACACTCAAAGCTAAGTAAATATTTTAAATTCAATATAATACCTATGCCTGGTTACAGCATCTTTTTTCGAAATGGTTACCCGCAGCAGTAATAACGACCGAGGCCTGCATGTCGTCTTTGATGGAGTGCATGTCCCCATTTGCTTTTCAGCTCTTTCCCACAAGTCTCGCAAATAAAGGTCATGGTCTAAAAAAGAAAACACAACATTATTTTATTTGGGAAAACTGAAATATTTGCAACTTGAATTAAAAAACCACCGGTTATATATATACATGTATATTTAATATGTTCAACCGGCGTTTGCATATTTTACATGTTCAAACGACGTTTGCAAATTAGACAATGCAGGGAAAAACATGGGTTTGTGTCAAATATAACTTTGCTAATGGAATTATAAATAAGTTAGGGACGAGAATGGCATTTACAAGACATATATCCTCTATTATTTTACCTCAACATGTATTTCCTTTGAAAAACATGATTGGAAAAAGTAAAACCTATCGGCGTTTGCTTTGCGAAAAAATAGTTGTGTCGAAGTGTTCTAAAAAACTACTAAAGTCTAGTAATGACAACTCACATAAAATAAAAGCTTAATTTTCGCCGGGTCCTACGGTCTATGTCTTATTTTTGTGCTCGCAGTGGAAAAAAAGATATCTGCAAAAGATTACCTGAAATCGGGTCCGTTTGTGCCAAAATCACAAATCGGCGTTTGCATTTGTGGTCACGTGACAAAACTTGTTCATCCAGGGTGATACGAGTAGTACTTTGTTTACGCTTTGCTTCTGCTTTTATGATAAATAATTTCACATTCAGCGGCTTTTGTCTTCATTTTATTAAGCATGGCAAAAGCCGTAATTAAATGTTATAAAACCTGCGTTTGCAATTCTGAAAGGAAAACGTTATTTGTTTCTGAGGTCTAATGTGCCTTTAGAAAAATAATTCTTTATCAATGTGCCAAAAAGTTACAACAATTATATATTATGTATATTTATATATTGCATTATTAAATTGTTGATACGCTAAATGTCGGAATAATTATGTACATTAATCATTACATGTTATCATGTTATTATGTACACGCCATTTGACTTCTTCATAATTGCCTGAATCTTAACAGAGTTATTCAATATTAATGTCAGTAAAAATTCAAGCAGAATGTTATCTCGTTTTGCAGAAAGTTTCAAATTTTGATATATATCATGTATCCCTTGATCGCAATAAATGAATGCATACACATTTATTTAACACTGAAACAATGTGCCTGTTAGTTTGCAGTGGGACCCAATCAAACCGAACCAGCAGCATTTTCTGATTTGCCATTTTGTACGTTCTTCAGGAATTCTGTTCTGCTTTTCTCTATTTTAATCCGGTGAAGAAAGCTGTATTGAATGTGAAATGATTTGACATACAAGAAGCAAAATATATTTTATATTATACAATAAAAGCTTCCTAAAAGCATAAGGTAAAATAATCAAAAGATCTTTTAGCAATGTGACCAATGAGAACCGTTAATAGAACATGAAAACAAATAGCCTTTTAGAAATAAGAAATGGCACAGTTTGGTTAATGATTCTTTAATCCGTGACATGTTAACAAACACCGAGAAAGAACTGTTTTATTCCCTTTAAGGTCGTCCGTATATGATGGCATGACATACAAAGGCATTATTGTCACAGGTTATGTTTCTAATACAAAACTGAGATATAACTAATGATTTCTGATGAACAGAAAAATACTTCACATTTTGTCACAACCATTATAATATCAAATGACTTCTATAAGAAACTAACAGACTTTGACCCTAAATCTTAAATTACTGGAATAAAATAAGACTATGATCCTAAATCTCTAATGGCTGAAATAAAATAAGCAACTTGTCCGCTTGGTATTGTATTCATGTATGAATAGAATCTTAAGATACAAAATAGTTCCATTCAGAGCTCGAGTCCAATTAGTAACAAGGTAATATTGCACGATAGACTTGCTAATATTTGAAAAACTTTGAATAATTGTTTATCACATCCTACACGGGACCCACTAACCTTATTTGTTGACCATACCACGCAAAATGTCACTTAGAAACAAATCTTTAAGATAGGGCACAGTCACGCTGTGATCACGTGATTATATTACTACAAATTGTACGGGCATCCTCATTGTTTGCGTGGGTGAATAGTAAGGTCAATAGCATTTTCAAAACAATACATGCTGTAACTATAGCAACATAATTTAATCCTAGGAATTCAGGTGCTGAATTAAATGTAAATATGCTTGTAGTTATAGATATGTCAGAGACAGTCATAATGTCCAATTTTTATCTTAAAATAATAATTAAAGAGAAATAACTCTAACATGAATGATTTCTGATTATATTCCTATATCTTCTCCCCTTACAGTCACTGGCTTACTCGCACCAACACAAAAATCGTATGATTGCGTAGAAAATGCCAATCTTTGACAAAATCCTACGACAGATGTATGCAAAATATTCCTTTACGCCTGCATTGCGCTGACGTGAGACGCATTCTACGATAAAGGTGAGATGTACATGTATATATCAAATATGGTAATTTTGAGTTGTGTATTCAGTAAAACCAGACCGGAAATCGCATTTTACTTCTGGGCCTGGAATTTCATAAACGGGAATTGATGGAATTTGTAAGGTTATCTTTTATTTTATGTCTGAACCACCAGCAGGCCTCTCTTTGGAAAAAGAATGAAGGGGTTGACATATCCCAGAACTCGTTTTCAAATGCTGATTTTTGAGGTAAGATTTTCTGACTTAAAGCAGATCTAGTAGCAAATTGACCAGTAATGTGTTGGCCATGGCAGTCCCAGCTCATTACACAAGTACTCACGATGACGTAGAACTATAACGTGTTTCTAAGTGACATTTTGCGTGGTATGGTCAACAAATAAGGCATGTAGACGTACGTTTTTACCTACAAAGCATAACTTCGTAGATGCAGTCAATATCTGGTAAAAAAGTAATCCCTCAGAAGCATTTAAAACAGCAAAATTACATGCAAATTGCAGACTCGGTTTGATTGAGTCTGTACATGAGGGGTTATGAAAACGTGCAATATCC